GCGTGTGTGTGCACGCGTCTCATGTCACCGTTGTGTAGCAAGCAGCCAGACGTGCACGCCAATACACGAGTAACCAGTGAAGTCGCAGACACATGACTGGAGCAGAGCACGCTGGTCTGCAGGTCCAGTATACGAGGCAGAACGAAGGACGTGCTTTGTTTTATTTAGCTCACCTTAAAGGAAAACTGCAGATTGTTATTTATTGTTTTGATGGTTAAAATGTTAAGGAGCAGTATTTCACCTGTGAGCAGAGAGCGACACTACAAACACGTCCCTGCTCTCTCGTCAAGTTTGTTCATTTGTAACAATTAAGAAATATAACAATTGAAAACTGTCCCGTGTCTTTGTCTCGTTACTGCTTTTTGGGTTTGTTTGTTTTTCTTGTTCAATAAGAGACTCGTGCATCTATCATCAGCTAAGAGGGCTTCATTTGAGTGTTTTGGTAAAAAGGAGGAAGCAGATAAAACTACTTGAAATATCATCCAGTTGCTTGGTTACACAGTCAGGAGACAAAAAGAGGTCGACGTGTCACCTCAAGGAAAAACATCCAAAAACAACCCAGCAGAAAAGCAGCAGCTGAATGATGCTTGGTGTTAGGGTTACAACGTAGGAGGGACACTAATGTTGAATCATTATTGAAAATAACAGGACATGAGTGCATGTGTAGAGTCAGCAATTACATCTGGTTTAAAAATGCTTCGATGTGCCTCAAAACAAGAGTTTAAAAAAAGCTGTTTTTCAACCTCTGGAAGTTAAAAGTCTGCTGCTGTTGTTCTGCCAAAGATTTGATTTCAGGACTCTGAGGCCGTGTTTCAGTCTTCATGTCTGACAGATCACTGCAGAGAAGAACTGCAGAGTCAGCTGGTAGGTTTCAGCTGATGCGTTTGCTAAAAGCAATCATTTTCACATTTCACAGTCCTTTCATTTTTTTGTGCATCGCTTTAAAATCATCTTCAGCTACAAGATTCGTTTCTTACACACTGCTTTGTACACAGTACAAAGTAAAATATTTGCGTCTAAAATATAACGGAAGAAAAGTCAAAAGCAACATAAAAATATTTTGACTTCAACCATGACCTCAGTTCCAGAAAAGCTGGGAAACTGTAAAATACAATGATTTGCAGATCTAATAAACCCATTTTTTCTGTACAGTAGAAGATAGAAAACATGTCATATGGTTTAACTGAAAAAATGTTCCGAGCCTTGTTCCTCACACAAAAAGATTTCTCCAGATTCTCAGAATCTTTCAGTGATATCATGTATTCTAGATGAGGAGATATTCAGTGTTTTCAAATGTTACATCAGGAGCAACATTCTGAAAATGTTCCACGTTTTTATGATGCAGTTTCTGTTGCAGGTAAACCTCTGCCTCCCTAAATGCTGTTTTATACCCAAACATATTACTGATCTATTGCCAGTGACTCACAGACATGCTAAATGTTCCTCCAGCTGTGTTTTTAGTACCGCTCACTTTCCCAGCCTTTCATTGCTCATCTCCCATGGACGAATAAAGTACGAGTTTATGAGATCTGCAAATGATTGCATTCTTTATTTCAAATTTACATTTTATTCTATTTTATTTTATTGTTTAATTGGGGTTTTATATTCTAACTTTTAAAACTTTAGTAAAGTACTTGAGTTACGTTCCACTACAGCACATATCTCTTTATAAACAGTCATCAAAGGAACAAAGTAAAAACAAAGTAAAAAACATCCAAAAATAACAGCGAGTGAACACAAAATAGTCATAATCACAACGAGATGAAGATCATCATAGATGGAGAATAATGGATAAAATCAACACAGCTGATGAAAAGTATATGAAAATGTCAATGAACACAAACAAAACCATCAGAGATCACTGAGACACCCCATCCCCCCCACCTCATTTAAAACAAACCTAGGAACGCCCCTGCTGAAGCAAAACACAGCCTGACATTACAGCTGATTCACGAACCTTTCATCATTTCCTCTCAGTACAAAATGAAAACGCTGCTGTGTCGTGTTAAACTCTAAACCACCGTGTGAATCACGGGCTGGTTTGTATAACTAGTTAAACTTTGCACTTCTGTTAACGTGAATGCAAAGCTGCTCTCTGGGTTCAGGGATCGATGCACGGCCCCTTTAAATGCAGCGGGTGACGTCAGAGGCTCGGTTTACTGTCTTTGTTTGTCCGGAGCTGTTTTGGCTTCAGACGAACCAGAGACTCGAACCGAAGAGACGGACCTGCGCTGTTGGCTGTAACTACTGCGTTATTCATTTGTGTATAACTGTTTAATAACCGGGACCGAGATGCCGTCCGACAGACCCTTCAAACAAAGGAGGACATTTGGTAAGAAAGCCCCGGGGATGGTGTTATTTAGCGGGCTTAAGTGCCTGCAAACAGCCGCTGAGCTGCTAGCCCATTAGCCGCCTAGCTCAGCTCTTTGTATTTAAAGTGCAGTGAAAGGGTGTCGGTGCTGTGTTACTGTAGCTGCTACAAGTGTCCGGGAGCTAGGGTGGGTAGGCTAACAGAGTATTTCTTTACTTGCGAATCAAAGGTGAAAATCCCGTTTTTACTGTGTGAGGCAGCAGCCTCCGGGCCGAGAGGTGTTAAAGGGCCATCTGGGTCACTGTCCGGCTAGCTCGCAGCCAGCTAGGCCTCCGTTTACACGGCCGGATCACCTCACTGGTCTGTGTTTGCTGAAAGGAAAAACAACATGTGCTGACACATTATCCCAACACACGTGTTCAGCGATTTATGTTGAAATATGAGGTCGAGAGACAGCCCCCCAGAGCCGGGCAGGGAGGAGCCCGGAGTCCGGCTCGTTGCATAATCTTTCCATTTACAGAGAAGCAGAGATGCAAGAAACGCTGCATTCACCGCCTTCTGCTCTGTGCTTATAACCTGCTTTCAGCCGCTCTCGTAGACCTGTGCGTGCTGTTTGTTTAGCAGCTGTTTGAATTGTGTCACACTGACACACATTACAGAAGTGTTACACAACAGGGGACATGTTTACCACACTTGGAGTTACTATAATACGTTTTCCAGTTCACTTTTATTCATATAGCACCAGTTCATGTTAGGGTAAACACCCCCAGAACCCCAACAATCAGAGGATCTCCCGTGAACTGCACATGGCGACAGTGGGGAGAATGAACACCCATTTAACGGGAAGATACCATTCTCAGGGAGAAGCAGCCATCTGCCTCCACCTTTTGATGGAAGGCAAAGCAAACCACAGAAGAGAGAACAGCCAGTCGTCTGTTCATTGCAGCAGATACAATAATGTTTTCAAAAAAGTCACTCAGCAAATATTTAAACGCTTCATTAAAGAGTCGCTCTCGGACGACTAAGATTTCAGTGTAAACATTACTGAAGACGGGCGTCGCGACTGCAGCATCATAAATCCTGTTATGAAGCCCTGAGCTGAGCGTTTGGATTGAGCCTATCAACAGGAAAGAGTTTACTGAGGTCACAGCAAGGGAGCAGGTCGTTTTCCCATGAACCTCTGCAAATCTGCGACCAGATGAGTCGCCCTCTGCTAGCCATTAAGAAAAGGGTGTATCATTATTTCAGCATCCTCTTCCTGAAATTTGATGGTAGAAGAAGAAAGAAGAAGATGTGATTAATAAAGACAGACTTCAGCCTTGGTTTGTATTCAGTTGCTGACACGGACAGCTGGAAGCACAACGGCTGAGTAATCTTACTGTTGTGCCGCTGCCTGGGGTGCATGGTAGTTGGTGCATTGTAATGCAAATTCTCTGTGGACGAGTCTTCACGATCACAAAAAATCAACGATCACCGTCTGATACCAAAATTTCTTGCACTTGTGTCCTCGTGGACGTGAAAAGTATAGTCGAGGCTGATCGTTCGGGGTCACCTGATCCAGCCCTAACTTCATAAAGCTGATCAGAAAGGAAAATGTGAAGCCTGATCTTAGAGGTGTGACTCTCTCCAGGAGCCAAGTGAGGACGAATATTTACATTCAAACTAAAGACAGGTGATCTTGCAGAACCTGGAGCAGGACTGTAGCTGGCTTCCAATAAACACCTCCACACTGAAACAAAGGAGCCATTCACACTCAGCTGCTGCTGCTCTGAGCCACCTGAGCTTTGAACCCGGCCGGTATTTGAAAAAGGAAAAGCAGTTTTTCTGAAATAGGCCAGTAGGAGGTTCAGAGAGGGCAGCATGCTGTAAAATTAGATAGTGAGGCAGTAAAAAAAAGAAAAAAACATTGCAAAGCTTGAAATGGGTACTGAAAGGAAAGCCTGTGGGCATTAAAGGAGACGTTTAACATAATAATAATATGCAAAGCTGTGAAGAGATGCAAACGCCAGAGTTCTGCCTCGAAAATAAAAGAGACTTAATGTGAAAGAAGAAGCCAAAGAGACTGATGCTAATTAACCACGTGGTTAAACAGATCCTCTCTGACTACACCTAGTTTACTCTCATGTCATTTGTTTTCATCACTTTTAAGAAGCTTTAAGGAGTCTTTACCTGAAAACCGACTAAAATGATCTTTCAGTCGCTGGTTCGTTGTCTCCCAGTTAACAACAGTGTTGTTCACTGACTAATTGTTGCAGCTGTGTGGGGGAATGGCTCTCTGCACTGCACTAAACAGCTCTGTGATCTCTGAATGCATTCACACATCACACTAGAAATGAAACGTTACAATATGGCGAGGAAGCAGGAGGTTAGAGTACACAACAGGGATGCAGCGAGGACACAAACTTGTAGCCTTGTAGAGCTGCGGTTCCATTTTTCCCTCATCTGGAACGCAACATTTGTCACGTCTTGTGGATTTTCTGACAAAACACAAACTCAGTCTCCATCTGGAGAGGAGAGAACTTTAAATAATACAGATAATGAAAATATCCAGTGTTTTCCACAGAGTCACATTCTATTAGATAATAAATGAATTCGTGCTTATGTGTGCAGTGCATTCATAAAAGCTCATACTGAGCCAGGAGAATCCTGGAGCACAACAGAGCAGGAACCAGCTGCCCCGCTGATGAACTCACCATCATGGCCACAGTATCCTTGGTGAGCTCAGCGCAGCGGCACATGAAGCAGGTTCTGGTTAAACTGACCCTACAGAGGTGACGGATGGCTGCCATCACCAGCTGGTAGAGCTGGAGTCTGTCTGATTACAGGACTCGAGGCAACACCCACATGTCCAGCCTCACTGTAGGGAAGCAGACATGAAGTCAGAGTTAGCTGGTTGTCATTGGCTGGACTTTCAAAATAAGAGCGAGGATGGTTCCTGGTTCGACTGAACAAGAAATGAACTTTGTTTTTGTGACCATTTGTGTCTTTTCTCCACAGCTGACCGGTGCAAAGAGGTCCAGCAGATCCGCGAGCAGCACCCCAACAAGATCCCCGTAAGCTGCTTCACACTGAATCACACCACACTTCACTGAGCTTTGTTAGTGGAAATAAAGATGATTCCACTGGGATGAACCGCAGGTTACCGGAGTGCAGGAAGCAGAGGGTGCAGTGTCTGAAAGCAGCGAATCAAACCAGTCTCCACTTCAGAGCGATCGATGTGATGCTTCGGTCCACAGTTGACCTTGTACTAAAAATGTCTTCCAGTCCGAGATTATATTTAAAGATTTAGATCATATTTCCCAGAACAGGTTTTAATCTGAAATCAAGTTTTGTAAATTTTGTCTTTGTGAGCTAAAATTTCAGATGTGACTTTAAATAATTACCTCAAAGTCTTACAGCTCACAGACTCCCAGAAAATCAGGTTTCAACCACAGACTGTACATAAAAGATGGACATGATTAACGTCATGTGACCTGTTGTTGAGTCCTATTTCTGAAACTTCAAAGCAGAGTGTTTTCCATCTTTACTGTCTGCAAGCGAAGTGCAACTGTTGTTTACAAAATGAACATTGTGTTTTCTTTAGACAGACTTGAGGCTAGCAAGCGCGACAAACAGGGGAGTCGCCCTCTGCTGGCCATTAGAAAGAACACGTTAAAATGTCCGACATGCTTAGACTAGAAGTCTGAGGTTCAGTTCAAATACGGTCATGTGTAGTTTTAAAGAACATGGCAGCAGCTAAAATGCTAAAATCAAGCCTACAGAGCAGAACTTAAACCAATCAGAGACTTCATGGTGGCCGTGTGCATCTTTTGTATACAGTCTATGTTTGTAGGGCAGGTTTTGTCTTAGTGACACTCGTCTGTGTGCTTTGTGCCTGCAGGTGATCATTGAACGGTATAAGGGAGAGAAACAGTTACCCGTTTTGGACAAGACCAAGTTCCTGGTACCGGACCACGTCAACATGAGCGAGCTGGTCAAAATCATCAGGTAAGCAGAGCTGCACCAGCATCAGCACTGCAGGTTATTAGCTGGCATGTGTGCAGCTGTCAGTGAGCGTGCATTGTAGTCTGTAGTGTTTAAAATACATTTACTGCAGTTTCAGGTCGGTGGATCTGGCACAGTTCAGTTTGCCTGATGAGGAGGAGAGGCTCATTCTGTTCACAGAATAATGGGCCAATAAATTAAAAAATTTACAGTCCAGCAGTAAAGACATATAATAAACCATAATATATCTGTGGTTTGTGAGGCCACTGGTAATAATTATCATCCAAATGCTGAGGAGGCAGAAATAAGATCTTTTTAATGTCAATCAGCCATAAGAGTGAATTAGCTGTAGGTCCGTCGTGCACCAGTGGATTTACAGATGGTCAGCGTGCTGGAGTTTGTACAAGATGAAAGCGTTGGCCTCTAAAGTGAAGGCTGAGGGTGGAAAATGAAAGAGGAGGGAGGTGAAAAATGATAATGCAGAAGTGTTCCTCGATTCAACATCCTCAGAGTTTAGAAAAAGCTCCGTCAGAGTTTCTGTAATGAAGCAGGGTTCAGTTCAGTGCTCAGCACACGTTTGTGTCTCAGCCGCGGTGTGAGATCCTGTGATGACTAAAATATCAAGCGTGCAGTGTACTCCACCCAGGACAAGGTCACCAGGATCTCACCCTGGAGCCACAGCTGGGCTTAGCCTAAAGAAGGCTTGGTGCACCCCAGTGGGCCCACCACCCAAGGGGGGGCGCTGTAGGGGTTTGGTGCAGCGGGGAGGTCCTCGACGATCTCCTCTGAGACTCTGCTCAGGAAAGAACGGCTCTTCATTTCACTGTAATGTTGTGCTGCCCGAAGCCCCGCAGATGACGACAGGTCCAACACAGGAACAGCATATAGCCTGTTAATTTTCAAAATAAGAGTCTGCAGCCTAAAAGCTCTGCTGGTGAAACACTTCATGTGTGATGCGAAGCTGTGCGAAGGACCGAGCAGAACAAAGTCAGAAGTGTCAGATGGGTTCATCAAAGAGCCAGAAGCCACAGATAAGAGAAAACAGCTGATTACCTGCAGCTCAGGTGTGTGAAGCTGCTCCTGATGCAGACTCAGTATGTGCAGGTTTTTTGATTAAAGAGTCTTGGAAATGATAACCAGCAAGTTTGAGTAATAATTCACTAACTGGAGACTTTTATGGACAAAATTAATCTTAAAAATAATCAGCGGATGAATCGATGGTGAAAGTGATCTGTGGTTCAGCCTTCGGTGAATCGGCTGCTGCTTGGTGATTAAAAGCTCTAAACGAACATAAAAGGATATTAAAATCAATGCGCAGAGAGCCGGGCGGCCGATGTAAGACCTTTAGAAAAATGCGCTCGCTCATCCTGGACCTTCTCAGGACTCACGTGATCGACTTCTCAATCAATTCTAAGTGATTTTAGGCGCTCTTTATTTTGAGCCGAGCGGATGGGAGAGGAAGGCGGGGATTAAAGTGTGCGCTTTATGCCCGGCGGCTGTGGTCGTGTCATTCAGAGGCAAGAATGTAGACGTTTTATACGGCGGTGCCTCGTACATCGTGTCAGGAACCCAAACTATGAACACAACCTGCTGCTGACCAGGTGGTGTGCTCAGCATCAGTTACCATGGTGATTTAGCCAGGTGAAAGGAGAGCCGCTTTCATGAAACAGAAATCTCTGACCTCAGCACCGCTCAGCGAGCCATTAACCGCGCTCCGTAGTACGACCCTCTGAACCCTCAGTCTCTATGAAACAGCAGCAGCAGGAGGCGCTGCCACAGCTGGAAAAAACAGTCGAGTGTTGGAAAACCCGCAGAGATCATTTCATCTCCCAGCTTCACTTCTATTCCTGCTGCAGAGGTGAAGCCACACCCACTGGTTACACCTCTGTGACCCACTGTAGGGCTGAAGGATATGTCAGTTGCAGGAGTTCAGATAACTGATCTTATCTCCAGCTTGACCTTTAAAGTGAAGTGATGGGTGGATAAATTTTCCACTTCACTGTAAACGCTCATAATTCAGCCTTGAAAAGTTGCGTTGACTGTTGACGTTTCCTTTAACGTCTGAAACTTTTTCCTTTTTTTGTAAATCTGTGACCTGCCCTGATTCGTCTGTCGTACCTCTGTCATAACAAACTGAGTGTTGGCGATCCTGTAGCAGCAGCACCATAATCCTCCCTCCTCCCTCCTCCAGGCGCCGACTGCAGCTGAACCCCACGCAGGCCTTCTTCCTGCTGGTCAACCAGCACAGCATGGTGTCGGTGTCTACGTCCATCTCTGAGATCTACGAGCAGGAGAGAGACGAGGACGGCTTCCTCTACATGGTCTACGCCTCGCAGGAGACCTTCGGCCGCTGCTAGGGAGGGAGAGCGGGGACGTCCTCGGGTGCTGTGAGAGAAGAAAGGGCGGACGACCAGAAACTCCGCCTCCAGCAGCGCCTTTTCTCCCCCACCCCCCTCTCTTTCTCTCTGTTGTAGTCGAGCACCTTCTTCACTTTGGTCAGCCAGTAGCTCCGAAACCCAGAGAATATCCTGTGTCTCCTTCAAAAAAAAATCCGATCGGATTTTCCTCCCTTCTTCTGTTGGCCCCCCACAGGCTGAGTTCTCTTATTTTGAAAGGGTGACACAAACCGACTAGTGATAAAGAAGTTTTTAAACGATGTCTCGATGATGCGTGATTGATTAACCGATCGGTTTTTCCTCCGTTACGCTACACACGTATCAAACTTGAAACCAGGCAGGCGGAGGTCAGGGTGTAGCCTGAAGGAGTCAAAGCTGATCAGTGCATCAGCAGATGTGTAAGCTAGAAGATTAGAGTCTGAGAAGTTTCATTTTTTCCTTTTTAAACTCATTTTGAATCTGTTTTTTTGTTGTTTGAAACGTAGTTTAGTTTGTGTTTGTAGCTCCCAGTTTGTTTCCTGTCAGCCGAAGCTCAGCGCGCCGCCGCTGGCCAACCATCGGCTGACAATCGGGCTCAAGATTACTGTGATCCTCATCGAGCTGTTAGCATTCACAGTAATTTTCCATGTGCAATATTTCTCCTGACACTAACGCTGAAAAACACTCGCCGTTCATATCGTCTGTCTTCATTCACGACCCCGTAAGCACAACGGCGCGAGGTCCCGAAGACACTCAGAGTAGGGAGACACGGCGGGAGGCTGTTATGCTTTTGTTTTGACACGCTGAGGCGCTGCGGCGGCGCCTCCTCCCTGTAACAACACCACGGTAGCATTCACATAATAAATGTATTTAATGTAGGATCTGAATGAGCTTCTTTTGCACATCGATTAATACAAATATATAAAAAAAGACTTGGTGTAGGTTTTTTTAGTAATTGCTGTATAACAACTCTCTTTTTGTATCTGCTCCTCGTTTCCGTCTTTAACAGGAATTCACTGACAAAAAAAGTTCTGCACTACGAACCTGCATGTTTTACTTTCCTTTTTTTTTATAAATGTTCGTTGATTTTAAGCTCTGGATGTGATTGTATTGTTTCCATTTAGTCCTTTTTGATGTCTCCCAAACCAAAAACTGAAAGTAAGTGAAAATATGTTTGAAACTGAAAAAAAAAAGACCCGTGTTCGTTTAAAGGATCGTATAATCGAGCTGTATTACAGAGTGTGTGTTTCTTTAGGCTTTCTGACGTTGTCACTGTACTGAGGGTGTACATAGATGCGTTGCTACAACCTAATTCAAATTATTTGCCAATAAATAAATAAAAAGTTGCCTTTAAAATGATGACTCGGCTTTTTTCTGCTTTGTTGTGTGAAGTCGTTTTCAGAGGTCTGCTGACTGCGATGGTGTTCAGAGGCAAGACTATAGAAACTGTTTTTGGACACCAAACTGTGGACCTGACTGTAGCAATAAATGATGAGACGACACTCCTTCAAAGGTTTGTGCGATAGTTGTGCATCAGTTTCTCAAGTGGGAGAACTCGCCTGCAGGTCCTGGGTTGTCTCCATCGTACTGAGATCCAGCGACTGAAGGGTCGACTCGGCTGCGTGCTTTGGATCAGTGTCGAACTACGTGCAGCTTTCAGGCCGAGGACTGCGGCTCGTCCAGCAGCAGTGTCTGATAACATGCTGCACCTCCCTGCTTTGTTCCAGCCTGTGCTGACTCAGCTCAAAGTTCAGTTCTGGTCTCGTCACTTTGGTGCAGAAGTTTGGAGGCTCGTCTTGTGCGGGTGTTGAAACCATCTCGCTGCTTTCGTGCTGTGAAGTCTGTGTTTCACCTGAAGTAGCCTGAGAAGTTTTCTTTGCTTTCTGGCAGAAACATCAGTACTCTGTCGTCTGACTGTGTTTACTCTGACTCTGGTTTGGTATCAGCAGGACTACTCATCCTCCACTCCTTCGTCAGACACTGAACTCTACTTTTTACATCCTTTGTCTGATTTTTACAGTTCACTTCATCTCGTGAAGCTCTGTTCTTGTCTCCTGGCTCAGCAGCCACTGACTATTTACACAGAAGCACCGTTTATAATTAAACCTGTCACAGCTGTGGAAAGTTACCCTTAATAGTCAAGTAATCCTGACATGTCTGACTCCCACCCATCCTCAAGAAAACATCCACAAAGGACAAAAACCATGTTTCACTTCTGTCATTTTAAGTTCCTCAACACCTGTTTCCACCTGCTTTGACTTAATTGTTGGACTATTCCAGAGTCTGGGGACAACAGCAGAGCGACCCTGTGGTATATAATGGCGCTGAGGCTTTAACTGAGGCTTTAAAAACACATTGTCTATTTTACAGTCAGTCAAAGCAGCTGAGCTCAGACAGGAGAGATGTGCTGTCTTTGCTTTGTACCAGATTTCTAAAAGCCAAAGAAAAGTCCACAAAAGTATCAGGGGTTATTTGTGACAGAAGGAGAGGAGCAAGAGTGAAAAGGAAGGTTTAGAAGATGGTGCTGAGACCTGCTGTGATGGTTTGGAGAGGGTGGAGCTGTTCAGAGGAGGTTCGTGGATGTAGTGAAGGAGGACATGCAGAGGGTCAGTGCGATGGATGAGCTGAGACAGGAGGAGGTGGAGGCAGATGAGTCGCTGTGGTGCCCTCCTCGCTTCAGAGCCTCCTTTAAAGCGATGTTTACATCTAGACCAGGGCGATATGACCAAAAATATTTATCACGATATACATTTAAAAATTTGCGATAACGATATAACTGACAATATAATTGACACCAGACAAAATACTTTACAACTCCACAACTTTATTAGTGCAAAAAACACATCAATGTATTTCCACTTAAACAAGCAGCTGTTTTTTATCTGCATTAAAGTTATATAAAAATGTAACAGTGCAAATTCCTCGCTGACAGTTTAACCAAAAGACATTTCAGTGGAAACTGGCCGACACATCCTCAGCATAACCATGTTTAATATCCACAGAACTTAAAAAGAGCTTATACACACACAACACTGTAACATTATGTTGAAGCTCAGTACGTATCACTCCGCCTACGATGCCGTAATGCTCCGACAATCCATCAAGCGGTGCGGCTTCGTAGCTCAGCAAAGTCGTACTGAAACATCTGACAGATTTTCGAGCGCCGTGCACATAAAACCGTTTCGAGGTCAGTAAACACAACCAGAGTTCATACATAAGGCACACGGGATTATAAGGGGCTCTGTCGACGAAAAATCAAAGGACTGATTTTAAGTGCGCCGTATTTTCCAAACAATACGGTAATACCGGCCCGCTAGCATGCGCTACCAAAAATAGTGCTTCGTTGTGTATCTGACGGACGAAAGCTAAACCAGTTCCACACCAGTGAAGCTGCAGCATTTTTACAAACCAGTTTTGGTTCATCAGTTTCATTTTACGAAGCTTACTGGAAAAACGACTTAAACCAGTTGGTTAAATCTTTGACTTTAGTTAAAAAGAAAAAGGCTGCTTTTTTGTTTCCTTTATGGGAGATTTTGATTTAGTGAGTTAATAATCTGTTAAATTATGTGACCCCATCTTTATATTTTATTTTCACTATGTATGAAAGTTGCTAATATGTAAGAAATATCTGTTCTCTGAATCTGTAATATATGGTGCATTTTGTTTGTATGTTTATATTACTAATAAAAAAATAAAATAAAAAAAGTTTCATTTTACGATCAGCTTTCGCTCTTCTCCTTCTGCGTCGCCGCAATGTGCGTATGTAAACAAAGGCACTGCGCATGCGCTTTTTACCCATATTCTATCGCGATATTTCATTTTCCTATCGTTGCCCAAAATTACACCGGTATTACCGTGAACGGTATGATATAGCCCAGCCCTATTTACATCTTCCAGCGACACAGCTGTGATGTCATGGTGCTCATTAGGACCACTTAGTTTGACTTCAGAGCAGCTTCGGGGAAACACTGACATCGTCAGATGAACTTCAAGAAACCTGACACCTTTAGGAGTGATGCAACAGAATCGTCTGAAACATTTTGTTTGGCTGAAAAAGTGTTTGTAACATTCATCCTCTCACACATGAGCTGCAGGTACAAACCTCATGAAACCATCTGCACAACTAAAGAGACGAGTGGAAAAACACATCATCTCTAAGTAACAGCAAACTACTGATAATGATAATAAACTGCTCAAGATGTCACCATTAAGCCTGCAGGGGGGGCTCTGTACAGAGGGAAGTTCCCACCAGAGTCAGAATTTGGCCTCATACTGTGAACATTCCCAGAGGCTCAAAAAAGCTGGGAAAAACTAACCTGTCTGCACTTCGAGGTCCTCCCACTCACAGTTTTCATATTATAAAGGGAACGCTGTGCATGGCTTCATTAGACGTGCTGAAAGGGCTACAAAGGGTCACCACAGCAGGGGGCTCCATGTTTGATGCAGCAGATTTTTACACCAGACGCTCCTCCTGGGATTGAATCAGGTGAATGTGTGAACCTCTACAAACCAGAAAGGTATCATAGAACAACGAGCTGCTCTGAGGGTTCAGGCTGGACAGTCTGCTGCTGCAGGTGTAAACACCTCAGGTCAGAATTCACCGAAACTCCTGAAAACTTTAGAGAAGGAAAGAAAAAATCTGCAAACATTGTTGAGAAACCTTCGTGTGTTGTAGTGAGTCCAAGTATTAAAAAAACAGAAGCAATCATTGTGCAGAAATAAAATCTCGCCCTCATTTCCTGTTAGACAATTTTATCCAAACTGAGGGTGGAGTCCCTCCTGAGGGTCACCAGATTCGTTTTAGAGGGAAAAGCTTCGACTTCTTGGAGCTTTGCCCTCTAAAACAATCTTACTTCCATGCACTCCAGGAGCTGCACATCATATCCGGCTTCCTACAAACCTCTTATGGAGGTTTTGCAGCTGTGAGGTCAATCCTCACTGTGAGTTTTTGAAAGGAGAAACAGAAAAAGCAGCAAACAGATAAAAAGATGATGGGCTTTATTTTTTATACAAGACACACAAGACATTAAGAAACTTCCTCCGTGTCTAGTTTGTCTCGTCACACAGTCTGAGGAAGAACATCCATCTCTGCGTTTCCTGTGTTTGCTAATTACACTGCGTTCTCATCGTTACCGTCAGAAATCATTTCAGAGTAAGTGCACAGAAACACATCATACAAATGTGTTCTGACTGACTTTAAGAGACTAATCGAGCCGTTCTGTACCTGAAGCATCAGGGTCAATAATCACATCCAGCACAGGTGCACATCGTCACTGTGTAACCACGGGGTTATTATTTCCCTCTCTGCCCGTCCCCGGTCCTGTGAAACCGTTTCAGCTGCCAGGATGTTTTACTCTACCCGGGAAAAAGGTGTTGGAAGTACGAAAGGAGAAACAGAAGGAGGCTGTTGGAGTTAAAGGGAGTCGTGTTGTGTGGAAGGAGAAGTGTGAGGTGCAGAAATGAAGTCCGGCGGCAGAGCTTCAGGCAGCAGAGCTCCTCGATGGCAGGAAAACGGGAGGCGGGTCTACGCCATGCTGATGGGAAACAGAGCAGAGAGGAGGAAGGTCAGACGACAAGGTTTACATGTCACCTCATTTCCACCTGCGAGCTCCAGAATCAGAGTTACTGTCCCTCAGAGGCAGGAACAGCTGCAGGCAGTGATCCTGCTTCAAGCGCGCAGGACCAGCCCTCGCTGTCGTGTGAGTACAGGTGTGTTTGTGCGTTACCTGTCGATCAGCGAGTCCCTCATGCTGGTGGC